GTGTGTGTGTGTGTGTGTGTGTGTGTGTGTGTGTGTGTGTGTGTGTGTGTGTGTGTGTGTGTGTGTGAAAGCAAAAAGGAGTATGTGTATAAAATGAAACCTGGACAACTAAATAAGTGATTTGTTTGACATTAACAGTAAAGTTCAAACTTACATTACCCATCAGTCAGAGTACTAAAGTGTGTGCTTAGAGTATATGTATTTTGCGGCACTACATAGAAGTGTGTCAAAATACTGTAATGCATAAATAATGGCACATGAGTGATTTTTGCAATGTTTTCCTGCAATGAATTTATTATGGGAATCATCTACTGCTTTAACCTTCTCTGATTCACAAACTGAAGTAGCTAAAGTGACAAGTTTACCAACATAACCTTTATTTTAAACAGCAGCTGAAAAACTGGTAAATGATTGTCATTTTAATGGGTATTAACAAACATCTTAACAGCTCAAATGACAAACCCAAAACAGGTATCACGCCAAATGTCATACTGTGCAGCATTTTGGTTATTTTTTTTTCTCTAAACTTTGTTTCAGTTACTCTTAGACTTCATCAGATAAACAATACATCTTAAGATTCTTGAGATCTTATTCTGTTAATGTCTAAAGTGATGCAATAAACATAAATTTTAGAGATGCTGCTGGTCTGAAATCAAATATTGACGTGTGAATGTGATTACTGGATGCCAAGAAAATGAATCAAATGCAGAAAGTTTTATACAATCTCTAGTTTTGCTTTCAATCAAACTGCAGAGCATTTCAAGCAAGGGGGGAATTCATATATTTTGYAGTATTGATTGTTTTGCCAGTTTTGATGGATTGCTTTGTTTGCAACAAAGGTTATTGACCCATACTGGTAGCATTTGCTCCAACAATATACATCAAATGAAAATTTTAATACAAGTAACATTTCTAAGATAGCACATATCCACGGATGGCAGAGGAGAGTCTGACAGACAGATTGCTGATTTGTCTCTCTGTCTGGGAGCTGTCTGAGAGGCTGGGCCATCTGCACATTTATTATCGCAGCAATGATTCCATTATTGTTCTGTGTGGCAACGAGGACTCGCTCTGTCTGGCCTTTGTTTTTCTTATCTTCCGTCTAGCTGACAGCCCCCTTTTGATCATAGCAGCAACAAAATTAACATCTTCATGTAATGTAGTGCATRAATGAATCATCATCTTTAATAATAACACACTAAGCATGCTCCTATCTTTTCTTCCTGTGTCCTTGTGCAGGTCTGTTCCACAGAGCAATCATTCAGAGTGGGTCAGCCCTCTCCAGCTGGGCGGTCAACTACCAGCCGGTCAAGTACACGCGTCTCCTGGCYGAAAAGGTGGGCTGCAATGTCCTGGACACGTCGGACATGGTGGACTGTCTACGAAAGAARAGCTCCAGGGAGCTGGTGGAGCAAGACATCCAGCCTGCGAGGTACCACGTAGCCTTCGGGCCTGTGATTGACGGTGATGTTATTCCCGATGACCCCGAGATCCTGATGGAGCAGGGCGAGTTCCTCAACTACGACATCATGCTGGGGGTCAACCAAGGCGAAGGGCTGCGATTCGTGGAGAACGTGGTGGATTCTGAAGACGGCGTGTCTGGAAACGATTTTGATTTCTCCGTGTCGGATTTCGTGGACAGCCTATATGGATACCCTGAGGGAAAGGACACGCTTCGGGAAACCATAAAGTTCATGTATACAGACTGGGCAGACAGAGACAACCCAGAGACCAGACGGAAGACCCTGGTGGCTCTGTTCACCGACCACCAGTGGGTTGAGCCATCGGTGGTGACGGCTGATCTTCACGCTCGTTATGGCTCACCCACCTACTTCTACGCCTTCTACCACCACTGCCAGAGCCTCATGAAGCCTGCATGGTCAGACGCRGCCCACGGGGACGAAGTGCCCTATGTCTTTGGAATTCCTATGATTGGTCCCACTGACCTTTTCCCATGCAACTTCTCCAAAAATGATGTCATGCTAAGTGCTGTGGTCATGACCTACTGGACAAACTTTGCTAAAACTGGGTAAGTAAAATGATTATACTTAATTTGGCATGACTATCTAATTGAGTGTGGTGACCAATGACTTCTTTGTTTTCTTGTTRGTAAAATATCCAACTTTCAGAATCTAATCATTGGATGAATATCAACAACTAATTTACTTTTAGAGTCACCCTGATTCAAGACAGCTGCCGCAGTTAATCATCTCAGCAAACACAAAAAGGGTTATACTTCAGAGGATTGTACAGATGATGAGATAGAATTTGATGTGGTTATACAGTAGTTGAGTCATCCCCAACAAATGGTCTGAGTACTTGAGACTTTTGTTTAAAACATTGATTTTGAGTTTTAGAGTCAACTCTTTCAGTGGTAGCAAAATGTTTCATGGAATACAGCAAGTGTTTTGATGCACATCTACAACTGATCAAYCTTTGGAGTCAACCTGATTCCAGATCCAAATTTGGTGTGGTATTACCTAAACTTCATTTACACAWACTCTGAATGCTAACAGATCTCACGAGGAACTTTATTTTAACTTTGCCATGCATTACAACATATACATATTTGTTTGAGAACCACTTTAGTTTAATAACTGGGAGTCACCGTGAAGCAAAGATGTAGCATGGTATTTTTCCATTGACCTTTGCAGTCGTATATGACAGGACAATATTGCACTGCAAAAGGCTTGAAAGTGGCAGGCTTTGATTCTTACTGTAAGGGTCTACGAGATTATGAAAAGGATCTCAACTGGTCTCCCTGAAGGAAGAATGGCTTGTTRAAATCTCGTGGGAGGTGAGATATTTCAGGAAGACAGCAGTCTACACATGAGTGAGAGGTGGCTGCCAATKGGAAGAGTGAAATGGCATTACAAAATTGAGAATTGCAGCATAATGCACAGCTTTCTACAAACCAAACAGAGGTTTGTATGCTTGTGCTTTCTCCAGAGAACGACAACAAAATGTCAAGCTGCATTTCACGAAGCTTTCAAGACTGCCTTTGGGGGATTTGTGCATTCTAAAGTTGTTGTCTGTGCACAAGGAGATGTGAACAGTCATGTTGATATGAACAAGATGGCTCCAGTGAAATAAATTTAAGACTAAGGTGTAGCGGAGGATAAAAATTCACCAAGAGATCGGGTATGGATTTCAGTAATGTATTTTTTCACAAACAGTTTGCCAGCATGAACAGCCAAAATTGTTGAAAACATTGCAAAACAGCACTGACAATACGCATTGCTTGGCCTGCCTAAGTTCTGGCTGCTCTGCAGRTGAAAAGGAAAACACTTTTATACACATAGATGTGAAAAACTCCTCCCTTGCATGTKAGTGATAAGGCCAAAGAGGCTAAAGAGAAGAGCTTTTCACCTTAACATWGTTCATCACTGATGAAAGACTTTCCACAAGAACTTTGAGACAGAAAGGACACCGATRTTTTACTTCTGATTCTGACCTAAAAAAACAAAGTATTAGACATAATTGTGACTTTAACAGTAATGAAATATTATATTAATAATGACTGAGCAGTTAATATGCAACTAAACACAAAAATGTGTGTGTGTGTGTGTGTGTGTGTGTGTGTGTGTGTGTGTGTGTGTGTGTGTGTGTGTGTGTGTGTGTGTGTGTGTG